CGGGGTTTCACCATGTTGACCAGGATGGTCTCGATCTCTTGACCTCGTGATCCACCCGCCTCGGCCTCCCAAAGTGCTGGGATTACAGGCTTGAGCCACCGCGCCCGGCCCTAATTTTTGTATTTTTAGTAGACACGGGGTTTCACCATGTTGGCCAGGTTGGTCTTGAACTCCTGACCTTGTGATCTGCCCGCCTCAGCCTTCTGAAGTGCTAGGATGACAGGCTTGAGCCACCACGCCCGGCCCACCCAGTGACCTATCTTATCTTCCTTCCTGCATGACTTCCTCCTGCATCCCTTCCACAGCATCCATGTGGTGACTTGGAATGTGGCCTCAGCAGCACCCCCTCTAGATCTCAGTGACCTGCTTCAGCTGAACAACCAGAACGCGAATCTTGACATATATATCATTGGGTAGGTATCTGCAGGCTCCTTCACCCATACCTGACCAGTCCCAAGTTTCCCTGTGGGGAAGGAAGCCCTATAGCCTGCCCTCCTGCACTCTGGAGCCTGAGGGCTGGGAGCCTTCAGCCTGCTTTGGGCCCATCCCATGTCTCTTGTCCTGAGTCAGCAACAACAAGGAGTGGGTGATCAGCAGGCAGGGGAGGGGGACCTCATGGTCATCACAACTCAGGGCTTGGAAGTCCTTGAAAACAGGATGAAATATCTGTGGCAGGGGAAGCACCCTGGAGGCCGGGGACAAGCCTCTGAGCTGGCATGATCAGTTTGCAGGAATTGAACTCTGGGATCATAAGCCTCCTTTCCGATGCTGCCTTTAATGACTCATGGAGCAGTTTCCTCATGGATACGCTTTCCCCGCTGGGCTTCGTCAAGGTAACTGGCAGTTCATGGGCAATTGAGAGCTGTGTTTTCCCCTCTCCACTGACCCCCATTTGTTGGTCTGATGTGTTCCTCTTGCTCCTACTCAGCCTTTCCTGCTGTTTCCCATTTGTTTAAAGGGCTAAACCTTGCTTACACCTGCATCCCTGGGGCTTCTGCCTGCCTTGTGCCTTTCTGAAGTAGTTAGAGCTGAACTGAGTCTCCAGGGGTTAGGTTAACACCTGGATATTTTTCAGCTTGGGAAAATTCTGAGGGGAGGTGCAGCAGGGCTTGTCAACACCTCAGTGCTGGCCCCTGCCCTAGCCACCAGTCTTTCCTCAAATGCCCGTCCTAAAACCTCTGAGTGTAATAATGATGGCTGTCACTTATCAGGTGCTTGCTTGTTGTTAAACGTCATAAGTAGCTCTTTATATATGTTCGTCTAAAACCTCAACAAGTCTGTTGAAATAGAGGTACTTTACAGACAGAGCCATGGCTCAGAAGTCCCATGGGCTATCTTGGATTTGGATCCAGGTCTTTCAGACTTCATGACCCGAGTTCTTCACTGCTAATACTTTGTTGCTGTGCTGGTGAACTCCAAGACTGACAGGTCTTGGCCGGGAGCGGTGGCTCTCGCCTATAATCCCTGCACTTTGGGAGGCTGAGGCGGGTGGATCAGAACCTCCCTGAGGTTGGGAGTTTGAGTCAACCCTGGCCAACATAATGAAACCCCGCCTCTACTAAAAATACAAAACTTAGCCGGGCGTGGTGATGGGCACTTGTAATCCCAGCTGCTCAAGAGGCTGAGGCAGGAGAATCACTTGAACCCAAGAGGCAGAGGTTCCAGTGAGTGGAGATCACGCCACTGCACTCCAGCCTGGGTGACAAGTGCGAGACTCTGTCTCACAAAAAAAAAAAAAACTGACAGGTCTAAACATGGCTAACATGCTGGTGTCATACAGTATCCTCAGGTCATACGAAACGTGCATCTCAAATTCTGGGGCTCCAGAGGTTAGGAGAGGGGAGTCAGGTGTGGTGGGCATATTCTGGGGCATCTGTAGCCCACAGGAGAGTCCACAGGAAGGCTCTGGGCTGCTGGGTCTTCCCCTGGGTTCCACCCTGCACACCTGAGGGTGGAAACACACTCCCCCTCATAGCAGGTATACAGCTGCTTAGAAATGCCAGAATTCCCTCTCCCCCTTTTCTGGATGCCTCTTATTCTTCAGAATGAACTCTGTCAGCCTCCTTTGCCTGAGAGTACTGGGGCAAGAGCTGTGTGTCCTTTGGAGGGGACAGAATGAGGCGTAAAGAATCCAAGGTTTAGAACGTCTGCTGAGGACAGAAAATGCCAGCCTGGGTCCTTGGTCCCCTCCAAATGAAACCCAGAGGCCTCCTTCTGTAGCCACGGAGCTAGATCCTTCCAGAAGACAGAACCCCTTCTCTTACCAGCCACTCCCTTCCCAGGACTGCAGGCCTCTTTGCTTCTCGGCTGACTGGCAAGGGATTGGTAGGATGGAATTGAGCCAAGGAAAGTAGCTCAGCTTGTGGCAGGGACATAGCCCATTCTACCCATGTGGCCTACTGAGATTGGGAGGCCAGCCTGAGGGCCTGGCACCCAAAACAGGTGCCCTTTTTCCCCCAGCCAAGAATGTGGGTGGAGGGGTGAGCTCCGCTTAAACCTTATCCACTGAGAAGGGCTGACCCCTAGGACGGCTCCGCAGCCCCCAGCCACCTCCTGCTAGTTTGTCCTTTGCTCCTCCTCCTCCATTTCCTCCAACTAGAACTTGGCCTGGAACTCTGCTGCTTTTCCCACAGCCCCACCCTTTCTCCCAGTCTAACTCTGTCCTGCCCCACCGCGCCCTCCCCGCCCCATGTCCCTGCTGCTCCTCCACAAAGTGAGCCAGTGTCTTTGTGGTGGAACCCAGTGGCCTAAAGCTGCCTTGTGGGTAGGGATTAAGCCTGAAACTTTTCCTGAGTCTTTATCAGTCCCATTACTTCCTGACCTGGGAGTCAGCCCCTCACCATCCAGCCTGTCCTCCACTCCTGCTGTCATCCTGCTTGAGGGTGGGAGAGAGAAGACTGAGGTGGAGGGAGGCTTAAGGACACATCTGCAGCAACGCCTGCCCATCCGGAAGTTCTGATGCCTCCCTTGCCCGGTGCTGGGTTTGAGGTGCCCCTGTTTTGACTCCTCCGCTGTGTGGGGCTCGTGGCCTGCAGGATCAAGTTTCATAATTCCTGGAAGGCCCCAGTACACGCTCCCCACCCGGGGATTTCCTCCTTGGCCTCCACACTTCATTCTCCGGAAGCAGCTACTCAGATGCTGGGTGTAGACAGCCTGAACCTGAAAGGGGGTTACTGGCTGCAGCCCATTCCCACCCCACCTTTTGTAGCGGCAGATAGTAGGGTTCCTAGTCCATGATGTTGTTCTACAGTACGGTAGCTCTACCAGTTCCTTAGCCTCCCTGAATCTTAGGCCCTCCTCTGCAAAACAGGGGCGGTGCCTCCTTACGGGGTGGCATGAGGAGTAATGAGAGAGGAGGCACTTGAGCTAATTGCTCTCCACAGCCTGTGAGCATGTGTCCTTACTCATCAGCATTCCCTGGGTATTGCCTGTGTGGACCTCCAGCTGCACACAGTCTATAGTTATGGGGTTTTGGGGGAACATTTTCTTAATTGTTTTTCACTGAGCTGTAATGTACACAGAAAAGTGTGCAGAAATTCAGTGTACACCTTGATGGATTTTTATTTATACATTCGTACCCATGTTACCATCAGCTACATCTAGATAAAGAACAGGCGGTGTGAGGTAGCTCATGCCTGTAATCCCAACACTTAATTTGGGATTACAGAAGCAGGCAGATTGCTTGAGCCTAGGAGTTCAAGAACACCCTGGGCAACATGGCAAGACCCTGTTTATACAAAACAAACATATCAGGGCATGGTGGTGCACACCTGTGGTCCCAGCTACTCAGGAGGCTGAGGTGGGAGGATTGCCTGAGCCCAGGATGTCAAGGCTGCAGTGAGCCGTGATTGCACCACAGCACTCCAGCCTGGTAGACAGAGCGAAATCCTGTCTCTAAATAAAAAGGGAGGGGTAGGGGCAGAGGGTGGATAAAGAACATTTCCAGGGGGAAGGGAATAAAGAGCATTTCTGCAACCCTGGAAACCTGTCATATTCCTTCCTTTACTTTTAAGAATGCAGGCCGGGCACAGTGGCTCACGCCTGTAATCCCAGCACTTTGGGAGGCCGAGGTAGGTGGATCACCTGAGGTCAGAAGTTCAAGACCAGCCTGGCCAACATGGTGAAACCCTGTCTTTACTAAAAATACAAAAATTAGCTGGACCTAGTGGCAGGCGCCTATAATCCCAGCTACTTGGGAGGCTGAGACAGGAGAATCACCTGAACCCCGGAGGCAGATATTGCAGCGAGCCAAGATTGTGCCATTGTGCTCCAGCCTGGGTGACAGAGCAAGACTCCATCTCAAAAAAAAAAAAAAAAAAAAAGAATGCTTAAACCAAAAAATAATAACCGTCAGATAATCCCCACAGCATCTATGAGAGAGTCCTGCTTTATCAATGAGAAAATACGCTGAGAAACTTCCTCAATGTCAGATACTAAGAATCAGCGCCAGGGTTTGAACCCAGATCTAACTTGAAAGCTGGTACCCTTGGCCACTGTCCTCTTTCATTCACATTCCTCTTTGAGGTCCCAACCAGCCAGGGTTGCAGCCTCAGAGTGCCCAGAGGATCTCAGGGTGGCATTGCTGAGAGGGGCCTAGACATCCCTGGGCCAGGGGCGTTCTCCTGAAGGCAGGGTGCCCTGGCAGCCTTCTCTTCCCACGACCCCCAGACCTAGGAGCAGCATCTAAAACCTTAGTTTCCAGAGTGGATCATTTGGCAGCTCAGGAGAAGAACAGAAAGGCTTGAAACTCTGCGATTGAAACTGGGATATCATAGACCCTGGGCAGGACACTGCCTGTAGCTGAGGGTTCTCTAGAGTCCCTAGCGCAGGGCTTGGAAGGGGTGCCCTTGGCCTGTTCATTTTAATGAGCGATCTTCGACCTCTCTCTCCTGCAGGTCTCCCACGTGCGTATGCAGGGGATCCTCTTACTGGTCTTTGCCAAGTATCAGCATTTGCCCTATCTCCAGATTCTCTCTACTAAATCCACCCCCACCGGCCTGTTTGGGTACTGGGTAAGGACTGAGCTATTGTCCAAGTAGTGAGCTGGGAAGCGCTGGGAACTGTGGAGCTGGGCCAAAGAAAAAGGAGGGGAAAGGAATCTCGGTACTCTGTCCGGCCCAGTGCCCTGCATATCTGTTCTTGTGCCTCAGAGTGGCCTTGCTGCCTCTGAGGCCCAGGCTAGGTGACTTGGGCTCTGTGCATGGAGAGATCACGTGGGAAGCTTTGTTTCTGTCCCTGGGAGACCCTGCGGAAGGTGAGACTGTCTCCCCTCAAGCCCAGGATGTGAAAAGAGGGGCGTGTCCAGCCACTCTTCTGTGTCCCTGTCTTCCAGGGGAACAAAGGAGGAGTCAACATCTGCCTGAAGCTTTATGGCTACTACGTCAGCATCATCAACTGCCACCTGCCTCCCCACATTTCCAACAATTACCAGCGGCTGGAGCACTTTGACCGGATCTTGGAGATGCAGAATTTTCAGGGACAAGATATCCCCAACATCCTGGACCATGAGTGAGCCTGGATCTGCACACTGTTACCCTGCCCTCTGCCCTGCACTGACCCAAGCCAGCATCCTCTGCCCAGCAGTCAGTGGTGGCTCCCACCCTCTCCCTGCCCCTTCTCTCATGCCCTGTCTGCTGTCTGTCCTTGCTTTGCCTGCCTGGGGTCCCCTTCCTCCAGCCCCTCTGTCCTGCCTAGAAACCCTGAACACTTTGGAACAGACCAAGGACCTTGTGGTTCCTGAGGTCTCCAGGAGGGCTCCTCAGCCTTTCCTTGTGACCAGTTGAGGAACGAAGGGCCACAGCTTGCTCTGTGTTTGCCAGAGCAGGCTCTTTGGGCAGGTGTCTTCGGTTTGAATGGTGGTTTGGGAGCCATGAGCACAGTTCCAGCGGACCCATGTGTGCCCTGGCATCTGGCGTCTCCCCTCCCTCTCGGGCTTTCTCTGCCCCGGCAGCCCTCGGGTGGAGCAGGTCCAGCCACCTGGCAGTTTTCCTTCTCTGACCTCATCACAAATCCTCAGGCTGCCCTCCTTTTTTCTGAAGCCTCATTATCTGGTTTGGAGACATGAACTTTCGCATCGAGGACTTTGGGTTGCACTTTGTCCGGGAATCCATTAAAAATCGGTGCTACAGTGACCTGTGGGAGAAGGATCAGGTATCGAGTGAGGGAGGGCCCCCAGGGGTGGTCTGAGTGCATGGTGGAGGCCCACGTGAGATGTGCAGTGTTGTTAGACACCCTTGCCGCTCTTCTCCTTCGCCCAGGTCTCCTGGGGGGGAGGGTGTCTAGCAGGACCTCGCATCTAGGGGTGAGGCAGCCACGCCTGCCAGTGCCTGATCTTCACATGAAAGAGCCAGGGTAACAGCCCTGGGTGTGCTCTAGAATAGGGAGCCAGATGCAGGCATGAAATGAATTCTTTAAAAAAGAAGAATAGGGAAGCAGAAGGGCTTTGCACCAGACTTTTCGTGCCTTGGTTCGGCACATGCATCATCCCATCGTAGTCCTGTTGTCTTTCCCATCCCCAGCTGTGTTTCCCTCCTGGAGGGTGAGTTACCCCTTTGGAGGACCCTGGCTACCCGGGCTCCCCTCTGACGCATGTCTGCTAGTACCCTCCTCTAGAGATGGAGTTCAAAGTCCGGTCCCTCAGCATAAGAACTGGGGAAATGGAGGCAGCCACCTCCCCTGGGCCTTGGTAACATTTCTGAAAGGATCTACCTTCTTTCTGGTGGGGGTGGGCTGCTGAGTAGCCACCAGGCAGTGAGGAAGTGGAGTGGCAGTGCTTGACTCTTGCCCCATCTGTGATGGGATGTGCTGATTCCTTGAATGGAGTGTAGTGCTGATTCCTTGAATGGAGTGTAGTGCTGGGCCATGGGCCCGAGACTGCTGGGAGACAGGGCCTGTGACTTTGTCTGCAGCTCAGCATTGCCAAGAAACATGACCCACTGCTCCGGGAGTTCCAGGAGGGCCGCCTGTTCTTCCCGCCCACCTACAAGTTTGATAGGAACTCTAGCAACTACGACACCAGGTGAGGAGAAAGGGGGGGCCAGAAGCTCTAGGAAGTCGGCTTACCGGATGGGAGCTGTCGCAGGATGGAATAGAAGTGTTGAGGGGCAGGAAGAGGTCTAACCATCCCCTCTCCAGAGTGCCGCCTACTGCCCACTTCATGAGGCACTGACTGTGGGAGCCATCTCAGATGTCCTCAGAGAGCACGGGGGAAAGCTAGTGCAGCAAGGGCCAGAGAGGTGTGGGGGGTGGTTACAGATGGAGCCAGAGGGGAGGGTGCAGCAGCTGCCTCCTGACCTAGGAGGGACTGCACTTCAGCTTCTGGAACCCTAGTCTCCACTTCCCAGGACCTTCTAAAACCCCAGGCCCTACTTTCCAGGACTGTCTGGAACCCCAGCCCCCACTTTCCAGGACCTCCTGGAACCCCAGCCCCCACTTCCCAGGACCTTCTGAAGCTCCAGCCCCCCACTTTCTAGGACCTTCTGGAACTCCAGGTTCCACTTTCCAGGACCTTCTGGAACCCCAGGCCCCACTTCCCAGGACCTTCTGGTCCCCAGGTGGGGCAGAAAGCTTGGCCCAGCCAGTTTCTGGTGTTCAGTACCCCTGCCCCAGCCTGCGAGTGGGTCCGGTACTATGTGAGAAGATGAAGCAGTCGTAGAGAATTTCATCAGGGTCAATGCAGAGATCCTGAGTCTGGTAATTGGAAACACAGCTCTTTATGACTTCAAAGTGTTTAGGCCTCGATTTTTTCATCTTAGAGATGTGGATGAGGCCGAGGATTGAAGGAGGCCTTGTGTACGCCCAGCCTGGTGCCCAGCACCCAGTAACCACGGGAGGTAACTGCTGCTGTTACTCTTAGATCCAAGTCTTCCCGCCATAGTTTTACTAAAAACCTTTCTAAGCAGCTGAGAAGGGGCCAAGCAACCACCAAAACCTGAGAAAGAAGCTCTGGCAACTTGTCCCTGACCCAGTTTGGGGCATGGACCCTAATCTCTTTGAAGAAAAGAAGAGGCCTTACATGTCATGAGGGTCTTCGTTTCAGTGGAGCAGCTCCTTCCTTCTAGCCGGAGCATCTCAGCAAGGGAGGCGGGGGATGCTGGCAGGACAGCCCAGGCCTTTGGGATTTAGCCAGTGCAGAAACATCTCCACCGCCAGGCCAGGACAGGAGGTAGAACTCAAGCTTGGTTCTGGAAGCGGCACAACAAAGCCAAAATAGCCTTGCCAAGGAAAGGGGGCAAGAGTGAGCCGATCCAGCTGCGTGGAGCAAGACAGTGGGGTCACGACGAGGGCAGTCCCAAGAAGAGGAGGAAGGGGCACAGGCAGCAGGACCCGCCCCAGGCCGCAGGGCGGGCAGGAAAGGATGTAGGAGGGCAGGCCACGGCAGGCTGGTTGGCCCCGATCCACAGCTGCAGCCATCCATTAGCAATGAGAGTCATGATGACAGCAGTAAGGACTTATGGGGCTGTGGGTGGGGAGGTGTTCCTTGAAGCCAAGAGTTCAAGACCCGCCTGGGCAACATAGTTAGACATTATCTCTACAAAATATTTGAAAATTAGCTGTGTGTAGTGGGATGTGCCTGTAGTCACAGCTACTCAGGAAAGCTGAGGCAGGAGGACCCAGGAGTTAAATGCTGCAGTGAGCTGAGATTGACCCATTGCACTCCAGCCTGGGCAACCCTGTCTCAAAAAAAAACCTCTCTTTAAAAACTTGCCAGCATGAAGAGAGCTGCTGGCAGGCCCTGTAGCCAGGTGTCCCTTCTTCGCAACCCTGTGGCAGAGAGACCTCCAGGACACTGGAGCTTGTTGCAAAAGCTGGGTCTGGGCTGGAGTTGGCAGGGTCTGGCAGGGTAGAGAGCTTAGGAGAAGTGAGAGGACCCCCCCAGGTGGCTCAACCAGTGAGTGGTAAGCTGCAGCTCAGCCCCGATTCTCTGGCTCTGTGGCCCACAGTGCTTTCCTCAAGCTTGTTGTACCTCAGGATTCATGGCCAGCCTTGCCAGCAACAGCAAAAAGATGGCACAGTGAGGAAGCCAGCCTCTGCTAGGGGAGGCACGCACCTATTTTTAAATAACAGCTCACTGTGACTGGCACACAGGTGTGTGCAGAGGCTCAGCCTTGTCATTTCTCACCATGCTCTTAGGAGGCAGACAGTGTTATTATTGACTGTTGACAAATAAGGCCACTGAGTCCAAAAGAATAAATAGTAAGGAGTGATGGACTTCATAATCGAACATGGATTGGAACTCACATGTGTCTCTTATTCCTGAGCCTCACTCTCTTTCCCTTCCTGTCTCTAGACTCCTGAGCCTCAGCCTCCTTCCCTTCCTGTGCCTCTAGACTCCTGAACCTTCAGCCTCCTTCCCTTCCTGTGTCTCTAGGCTCCTGAGCCTTCAACCTCCTTCCCTTCCTGTGTCTCTAGACTCCTGAGCCTTCAGCCTCCTTCCCTTCCCGTGTCTCTGGACTCCTGAGCCTCAGTCCCCTTCCCTTCCCATGTCTCTAGACTCCTGAGCCTCAGTCTCCTTCCCTTCCTGTGTCTAGACTCCTGAGCCTCAGTCTCCTTCCCTTCTTGTGTCTAGACTCCTGAACCTCAGCCTCCTTCCCTTCCTGTGTCTCTAGTCTCGTGAGCCTCACTCTCCTTCCCTTACTGTGTCTCTAGTCTCATGAGCCTTCAATGTTTCTTCCCTTTGGCAGAGCCCAGGAAATGAAAGGTTTGGGCAGGACCAGGGGGCATCATAACTGAACTATTCCTGGCAGGGGCCAGGGGCCAGAAGCAGCTGGGAGTTCCTGCAGTGAGCAGAGCCTGAGCCCACCTGGGGAACAGAGATAGTCCTTTCTAATGAAACTGACTTCATCCTTGCAAACCAGGTTGAGACATCACCTCTCCTAAGACGCCTCTCTGACCCCATCTCACTGAGGGTTCCTCTCCCTCCTGCCTGCGCTGCCCCAGCCTTGCACACGCCATGCTTCCAGTGTTGGTTTTAAGACACAGTGTGCCTTTCTTCCTGTCCTGTAATTGCCCAGAGAGCAGAGACGATCTGATTTAGGGCCATCTCTGGCAGCAGCACAGTGCCTGGCATGTGTACCAAGCCTGGGAGTTAGTGGGTTTCCAGGACTCCATGCAGAAGGTTGGAGCAAATGTTCCTTAGGTGGTAGACAGTAAAGCTGGAGAAGCCTGTCAGACTTCCTGTCAAGGAAAGTATCTTGAAGGAGGCAGCAGAGCTTGGCAGAAAGCAGAGAGGCAGGCTTTCCCATCAGTCGGCGCACTGACGAGAAGCACCTGGAGAGCCTGGCAGGTCCCGGCTTGATGAAGGGACTGGGTGTCAGTGTGCTGGGCCAGCCATTCCAGTATCCCCGAGCCAAGATGTAATGAGAAACGAGACAGCTCCTCATAGGGCAGCTTGCCCAAGTCCGGGATTACACTGGAGTTTTGTTAACAGTTACCTCTGAGCCCAGAGAAACTTTTTTTTTTTGTGAGACGGAGTTTCGCTCTTGTTGCCCAGGCTGGAGTGCAATGGCGCGATCTCGGCTTACCGCAACCTCCGCCTCCTGGGTTCAGGCAATTCTCCTGCCTCAGCCTCCTGAGTAGCTGGGATTACAGGCACGCGCCACTATGCCCAGCTGATTTTTTGTATTTTTAGTAGAGACGGGGTTTCACCATGTTGGCCAGGCTGATCTTGAACTCCTGACCTCAGGTGATCCACCTGCCTTGGCCTTCTGAAGTGCTGGGATTACAGGCGTGAGCCGCCGTGCCCAGCCTTAGACAAACTTTTTTTTTTTTTTTTTTTTTTTGACGGAGGTTTTTTTTTTTTTTTTTTTTTTTTTTTTTTTTGAGATGGAGTCTCCCTCTGTTGCCCAGGCTGCAGTGCAGCGATGCGATCTCAGCTCACTGCAACCTCTGCCTACTGGCTTTAAGTGATTCTCCTGCCTCAGCCTCCCGAGTAGCTCGGACTACAGGCGTGTGCCACCACACCCAACTAGTTTTTGTATTTTTAGTATAGTTGGAGTTTCACCATATTGGTCAGGCTGGTCTAGAACCTGACCTCATGATCTGCCTGCCTCGGCCTCCCAAAGTGCTGGGATTACAGGTGTGAGTCCCCGTACCCAGCCAGAACTACCCAATTTTTAGTTATTACTTTTATTAGAAATGGGAGCCCGTGAAACATAGACCCTTTCCCCTACAGATATTTTTTTTAGAGGCCAGGTGTGGTGGCTCACACCTCTAAACTCAGCACTTTGAGAGGCAGAGACAGGATGATAACTTGAGCCCAGGAGTTCAGGATCAGCCTAGGAAACATGGCAAAATCCCATCTCTATAAAAAATGCAAAAGTTAGCTGGGCATGGTAGGGCATGCCCACAGTCCCAGCTACTCAGGAGACTGAGGCGGGAGCATCGCTTGAGTCCAGGAAATTGAGGCTATAGTGAGCTGTAATCACACCACTGCACTCCAGCCTGGGCAGCAGTGAGACCCTGTCTAAAAATAGTACCCAGGTGTGCTGTGTACCCCTGACGTCCCAGCTGCTCGGGAGGCTTGAGGCAGGAGGGTCATTCGAGCCCAGGAGTTGAAGAGTGCTGCAGTGACCTATGATCTCAACACTGCACGCCAGCCTGGGTGGCAGCGAGACCCTATCTCTAAAAGACAAGGTGGGGCAGAGGGAACTTGGTGAATGTGTGCACGCTCGCTTTGATTAATTCTTGGGTTTTGTTCAACAAGCTCGTCAAGGACCGTGTCCGTCCTGTTTCTCATATCCCCAGCTGCGGGGCGTGTGGAATCACTAAGTCAATCTTGGTTGAAAGAATAAGCAATACAGGTGCCCAGTGACCAGCCTGGCCGTGGCAAGGAAAAGGAAAAGGTGGTGGGGGTGGGGGCAGGCGGAGAGGTCCTGAGGAGGAAGGAGAGACAGACTGTGGTCAGGACCTGGGGAGGATCCTTCAGTGACAGCAGGTATGGGCTCCAACCCATCACAGGGAAGCTGGGGAGGGAGAGTGCTTTGGAGAGAAGGTGCAGTAATGTAGTTCATCACTGGGTTTTAAGCATTCTAGGCACCGGTGTCCACGGCAGATTCAGGGGTGCAGCATCTGTAGTCTCTGGGATGGGAACAGCACATTCCAGTGCCCTCAGAGCACTCCTTAGAAGAGTGGAAGGTTGGGAACAAACCAAGGAGCCAGCAAGCAGACCATAGTTGGGTCAGTTACCACTTCCCGACCACTCCCTGATGCGCTTTAATTTCCTTATTGCTCTTTGAAGTAAGTACTGTTATCACCCCATCTTAACAGTTGAAGAAACTGAGGCTTAGAGAGATGAAGTCATTTGCCCAGGGGCATACAGCTCTTAATTAACAGGACAGAGCCTTCCCCAGCTGGCCTCCAGCTCTGAAGTCTGAGTTCACCACCGTGGCCGTTCTCCGCCATTTCTGGAATACTTACTCTATTGCTGTTAAAGGGACAACACTACACTGGGAAAGTTTACTTAAAATAGCAGTAGAGGCCAGGCGCAGTGGCTTATGCCTGTAATCCTAGCACTTCGGGAGGCCGAGGCGGGCAGATTACGAGGTCAAGAGATGGAGACCATCCTGGCCAACAGGTTGAAACTCTTGTCTCTACTAACAATACCAAAAATTAACTGGGCATGGTGGCGCGTGCCTGCAGTCCCAGCTACTTGGGAGGCTGACGAAGGAGGATCACTTGAGGCAGAGGATGCAGTGAGCCAAGATTGCACCACTGCACTCCAACCTGGCTACAGAACGAGACTGTCTCAAAAACCAAAAAAAACAATAAGCAGTTGAGCAGGCCGGGTGCTCACGCCTGAGTAATCCCCGTACTTTGGGAGGCTGAGGCAGGTGGCTCACAAGGTCAAGAGTTTGAGACCAGCCTGGGCAACATGGTGAAACCCCCTCTCTACTAAAGATACAAAGAATAGCTGGGCATGCTATCGGGTGCTTGTAATCCCAGCTACTCGGGATGCTGAGGCAGGAGAATCGCTTGAACCTGGGAGGTAGAGGTTGTAGTGAGCCGAGTTTTTGACACTGCACTCCAGCCTGGGCAAAAGAGTGAGACTGTCTCACACACACACACAAAAAAAGCGCTTGAAGGCTGGGTACAGTGGCTCACACCTGTAATCCCAGCACTTCAGGAGGCCGAGGCAGGCAGATCATTTGAGGTTGGGAGTTCAAGACCAGCCTGACCAACATGGAGAAACCCCGTCTCTACTAAAAATACAAAAATAAAATTAGCTGGGTATGGTGGCACATGCCTATAATCCCAGCTACTTGAGAGGCTGATGCAGGAGAATCGCTTGAACCCAGAAGGTGGAGATTGTGGTAAGCCGAGATGACGCCATTACACTCCAGCCTGGGCAACAAGAACAAACTCCATCGCAAAAAAAAAAAAAAAAAAAAGCAGTTGAATAGGTCAGGCATGGTGGTTTATGCTTGCGATCCTCAGCACTTTGGGAGGCTGAGGCGGGCAGATCACAAGGTCAGGAGTTTGAGACTAGCCTGGCCAGCATGGTGAAACCCCGTCTCTACTAAAAATACAAAAATTAGCCGGGCATGGTGGTGCATGCCTGTAGTCCCAGCTAACTGGGAGGCTGAGGCAGGAGAATCACTTGAACTCGGGCGGCGGGGGTTGAAGTGAGCTGAGATTGCGCCACTGTACTCCAGCCTGGGCAACACAGCGAGACTTCATCTCAAAAAAAATAACAGTAGAATAAAGGAGGAGACAGAAAGTTTCCAATTGATGACAAAAATATTCAGTTGTAAACATGAAGATGAGATAGGCATTTTTGAGGGAGAGCTTGAGCGTGGAATTTTAGAAAGTGCCTGGTCATGGAGCAGCTGCGTTCCAGGATCTGCCGTAATGCTAAGGACACACAGGAGACCCCAAGAGCCAAGTCCATGCCTTCAGAGTTCACGCACCAGGTGATGTGCTGAGTAGGTAGCGGAAACCTGCAATATAACGAAATCGGGTAATACTGTATAAAATGCTTCGGAGGCAGAAAGATGAGGTCCAGGCTGGCTTTGACAGAGGCCGCTCCCTGGTGAAGGAGGGTGTTCCAGGCAGCAAAAACTGCAAGAGCAAAGGTCCAGAGGCTTGATAGAGGCACCAAGGTGGAGTGGGTCTGGGGAAGTGGTGTGAGATGAAGGGCGGGGGTGGTCAGACTCCTGAGCCCCTTGAAAGCCCTATTTGGGGACTTAATTCTGGAGGCAATGAAGACTCCTTAAAGGTTTTTAAATAGCGCTCTGGCACATGCCTGCAGTCCCAGCTGGTCAGAAGGCCGAGGTGGGAGGATTGCTTGAAGCCGAGGCATTTGAAGCTACAGTGAGTTACGACTGTGCCACTGCATTCAGCCTGGCCAACAAAGCAAGACCCTGTCAATCCATCGATTAATAGATAGATAGATAGGATTCAACAGAGTGAGACCCTGCGGGTTGATAGCTAGCTAGCCAGATATTCAAGGCCCTGTCAAATGATAGATAAGATAGTGTGTGACATCCTGTCTATAGATTGATTGATTGATTGATTGATCCCGTCAGGCTTTATTACTCTGGGTTCATTCAAGAAAGGGAATTGTCCACCAAGAGGAGGAAACCCAGAAATAGCAGCTGTCCTGCTCCCCCGACCACACATGCACCCCAACTCCAAGGCAGGACTCAGCTGGTAGTCTCCAGGAGGGCAGGGCCTCAGGACCAAGCTGGCCTTAGAAACTGCTCCAATAGTTGCTTGGGAAGGCTGGGTTACGGGTCAGAGACTAGTCTTTGATCAACTTCAGTTACCTAGAGGAGGAAAGCATTTTGTCTCCAGGGGCTGTGAGACCTCTTTCACACCCCTCAGGGAAGCTGGCTGGTGAAGAGCAGGTGGGAGGTCTCAGTGGACTGAGAGCAAATCATGATGGCCGGCGTGCACAGGGAGCTCACTTTGCATTTTATGTATTTGATCTCATGGTGTCATCTCAGCACCCCTGTGCGGCAGCTCCTGCTCTTCCCTCCAATTGCAGGCGAGAAAGCTGAGGCCTGAGAGGGGTTCATCTGGTGGGAGGAGCACATGCCCTGCGGTCATGCTGGCCGGCTTTGAATCCCCGCTCCACCACTTTGTAGCTTGTGACTTTGGGAAAGGTGCTTCTCTTCAAAGCTAAGCCTCAGTTTCCCCACCTGTAAAGAGAGCATGCTATAGCTAGGCACAGTGGCCCAGGCCTTATAATCCCCACACTTTGGGAGGCTGAGATGGGAAGATCATTTGAGGCCTGCAGTTCAAGACAGGCATGGTGTCATGCACCTGTAGTCCCGGCTACATCTCTAAGCATTTCCTAAATGCTTCCTTCCCTTTCCTGAGGTAGACTGCTAGTAGGCAGGGCAGCCAGAGTCAAGCTCAGGTCGGTCAGCTTCAGAATCTCAAACCTCAGCTGCTTTGATCCACTGCTGCTTTTGCTCAAGAAAAAAGCAAAGCTTTGAAATGGAGTATTTCTGAGTCACAATTTGATCCATAAAAATGTGAGGTAGACAGAGGGTCCTGGCGAAGCCTGATGAGGGCCAGCACCCCTTTGGTTCTGTTGGGCACCGCCCTGCCTGCTGCCACGCTCCCTCCAGCTCTGGCCCAGGGCTCTGTGGCTGCTAGTAGATGCCGGAGTTAGGGGCTCCAGCAAGCTCCTGTGGGCTCATTTCTGCTTTTTTTTTTTAATTGCATTTTAGGTTTTGGGGTACATGTGAAGACCATGCAAGATTGTTGCATCATTTCTGCTCTTATGCCCTCCCATTCTTCCTCTTCATCCCCCTGCCCCCGCAGTGAGAAGAAACGCAAGCCCGCATGGACAGACCGCATCCTGTGGAGGCTGAAGCGGCAGCCCCAGGCTGGCCCCCACACCCCCGGACTGCCGGCCCCAGACTTCTCCCTGTCTCAGAGGAGCTATGGCAGCTACATGACGTACACCATCAGTGACCATAAGCCTGTCGCAGGCACTTTTGACTTGGAGGTGAACTTCTGGGCTGCCCTGATACTTGCCAGAGGAATCGCTGTGCTGGGCCCCATCCCCAGCCCTCCATCCCTGCATTCTAATGTCAGCCAGTCCCCCAGGGAGGCCTGTGGAGGCCATGATTGCCTTTCCCCCAGGTCAGATATCCCAGCTCTTCTTAGGAGCCGTTGATGGCTCTGTCTGTCAAAAACGTGTTCAAACCCTTTGTGAAAAGGTTTCCATTTCCTTTGGGTATTCTCCCTTGGGGCTAATGAGTTCCATTACGCTTATTACCCACTATGGGAAGTAGGCCTTCTTTTATTTGTCCTGAATCTATCTGGATCAAGTTGCCAAGGGAGCTCCCTCCATCCCTGTGTCCTTGTGTCTTGCTGTCTGAACAAGGCAGCGCTGGCCTCCTTCAGGCTGCTGCCGTCGCTCAGCCTTCACATTTTCATACTGGCTTACTGGCTTTATATGTATGTGTGTGTGTATATATATACACACACACACACACAACAGGGTCTCGTTCTGTCACCCAGGCTGGAGTGCAGTGGTGCCATCACAGCTCACTGCAGCCTGGAACTTCTGGGCTCAAGTGACTGATCCTTCCACCTCAGCCTCCCTAGGGGCAGGGACTACAGGCGCATGCTACCATGCCTAAGTTTTGTATTACTTATAGAGGCAGGGTTTCACCATGTTGCCCAGGCTAGTCTTGAACTCCTGGGCTCAAGCGATCCTCCTACCTTGGCCTCCCAAAATGTTGGGATTATGGGTGTGAGCCACCGTGCCCAGCCTGTGTTAGTTTCTCTCGTGTTCCTGCACGTTCACAGCTGTTTTCACCACAGCATCCCCCAGGTGGGGCTTTGGGTCAGATACTCTAGCGGCCTGAGAGCAGCTGCCTGCCGCTTCCTTAAGCCTCTCAACCGCGCCTCTGCTCTCCCCAATTCTTACCCCTCAGTGCTGGGCCCTGTGACTCCCTGACAGGCCCAGCCACCCCGGTGACTGGTGTTTGGCCAGCCAAGGTCAGTTGGAGCAGCCCATCGGAGTTCTGTGCCCACCCCTCTGGGTGCCCCACCCTCCCCGCTGTGTTGGAAGGGCAGGGAGGGACACTTGGCCTCTGAGGAGGGCATGCTGCTGCGGACTGAACCCGTCCACCCGTGTCTAGCTGAAGCCGTTGCTGTCTGCTCCACTGATCATTCTGATGCCAGAGGACCTGTGGACCCTGGAGAACGACCTGATGGTCAGCTACTCCTCAACCTCAGACTTCCCCAGGAGCCCGTGGGACTGGATCGGACTGTACAAGGTGAGGTTCATCCCTCCCGAGGGCTCCTGGGAGCTGGGCAGACTCTGAGGAACCCGCCCTTGTCCATCCCAGGGGTTCTTCTGCATGGAAGAGCAGCGAAGGGCTGCGGGGAGGCATCCGGTACAACAGCCGGACAGCAGCGAGACTGTCTCCTCCTTAGGACTTGCCTTAGGTCCCATGTCCTCCCTGACCACTGATCGCACGACTTCCTCCACAGGTGGGGCTGCGTGACATTCATGACTACGTGTCCTACATCTGGGTCGGGGACAACCAGGTCTCCTTCAGCGACAACCTGAACCAGGTATGTCACCGCAGGCGGGCTGGCCTCAGCACTTCTGTGCCATGGGAGGAACAGGGCTGGATAGCTTGTCACTCAGAGCTGGGTGGCGCCCAGGGCCTGGAGCTGACCCCAGTCCTGTCCATCCTCCCTCCAGGTTTACATTGACATCAGCAACATCCCTGCAACAGAAGAAGAGTTTCTCCTCTGTTACTACAGCAACAACCTGCATTCTGTGGCGGGGATAAGCAGACCCTTCCAGGTAAGGGATGTTGGGAAGGGCAGGGGAGAGGAGGGGCTTGAGCTGGTCGTTGGTTCCCTGAGGCCCAGGCCTGGGAAGCAGCCTGCGCTTGAGGAGCCGCTCCGGTGGGAGAATGGGCTGACGGGAAGCAGGAGGAAGACCCGCTCTCCCACTTCCGCCACCTGCTTTATCTCACAGATTCCGCTTTTCTCCCTGAGGGAGGACCCACTGGGTGAAGCACAGCCACAGATCTGAGCCAGGTGGGAGTGGATCCCAGGCGGAGGCCAGAGCTGGCAGCTAGCTCTGCCTTGCCACTGCAGGAGGGCTGGGGGCCCAGCCTGGCCCCCGAAGAGACAGCCAAGTGTCACCCACCTCCTCCTCCCACAGTGAGCTCTGGGCAGGCTGCTTTGCTCTCTCCACTACTGATCTCTAGAATTAGCCACTTAAATACAGGTTTTTATTGCTGAGATGTGAGTGAGACCAGCTAGTTGTCCACAGTGTAGACCTGGGGACAGTTCTGATCTCATTTCTGATTCCTACCCCCTCTGCTAGTCTGGCCCAAGTAGTCCTGCCAGGCACATGCCCCATTTGGCACAGGTCTGCATTCTTGTCGTGTCATCCTGGGCCTCAGGCTGTCTGGGAGGGGGATGCTCACATTTGTACAGGCTGCATAGACTGGCGACAGCAGTGCTGCATTCCATGAGTCCTCCTGTCCCCAGGAGGAGTGAACAGAGGGTCTGGGATTCCTGCTTTCACCAAAAGCGGTATGACTCAGTGGGCAGGATGGAGGGGCCCCTGCAGCCAGGCTCCTGCGCCATGGCTGTGAGCGGGCTGATGAGGGCCCTTCAGCCAGCAGTGTTCCTCCCTACCCACCACATGGAGGCTCACCCAGGGACTTCCAGAGCCTGAACAGAGAGAACTGGGAAGGATCCAGGTTTGATTCTGCAGGTAGCTCAAGTCCCGTGCCTCCAGCCTACCCTCTGAGGAAGGAAGGGGTGACGGGTGGTCAGGAGCTGTGGCCACAGACTTTTCCTGGGTGGTGCTTGTCAGGTCAAGTGCATCTGCCTCACCCTTGTCAAGAGTCACTGATGACAGTCCTCTGGACCCCCCAGGACCTCGAAGTGGGGGCAGGCAGAAGGGAGAGCCAGCTCAAGATGTGTGGGAGGGTCTGGCCCCGGGGGTCTGCAGAGAGCATTCTCGAGGGGCTTTGTTCCCACCTCCACCACTTGCCTCCTGACGTGGTCTTTCGGCAGCCCTCTTCCCAGAGAAGATGCCTCTGGGAGCCTGTGAGTGCCCGTCCTGCCGTCCTGTGTCCCGAGGCTGAGGCCCACTGCACTTTCTGTGTGCTGCAAGCCGTGTGTATCCAGAACCGTCCCCTGGCTTCCTGCAGGCCATGGCTGGCTGTTTTGTGACTGTTACATTGTGCAGGGGGAATTAGAAGTGTGGCTTTTACACTTGTGTGTGACTCATGATTGGGGGTTTGGGGCTCATGGCTGGACTCCAGGGACAGGGCCCTGTGGACCCAAGCTAGGCTTGTGTCTGAGATTTGCAGATGCCACGACGATGTGGCTAGGATGGGGCTCTAGCATGGGGAGTGCTGGGGTCCTGGCCCAGGTGGGGCTTGCCGCCTCTGCGGAGTAGAGGAACTCCTGGTTCATCCCTCCTAGCCCGCTGCTGCTCATGCCCCAGTCATGAGCCTTCTTCCTGGTTAACCAGTCCAGACTGTTACCATCTCTTTCTGCCCCACTTCTCCCCAGACCCTTGCTGAGTCTTCCCCCACAGTGACCTGTCCCTGCCACCCACACACACTTGGGGACCTCCAGAGCCGTCACTGGCCCACCTGTTCCTCTTGCACGTACAGCTGTCGTGAGTGTCGCCACATAGCACCCTTCACCTAGCAGACGGGAAAGCCAGGGCTGGCGGGGGTGGATCTGCTCACAGTTACAGGCTCCTGCGGTTTCCTGCAGGACCAGAAACACAGGCATGGGCCTGAGCCCACGGCGGAGGGGCCTCAGTCATCTGTGAAGTACAGGTGATGCACCTGTTGGCAAGGTTACTTCGGGAGAGCAGCTTCGGAAAGCATATCACACTATACCCGCCTCCCCATTCGGTCAGTGCCACCCCAGCCTTGACCCCAGGGACCCCCACCTGCTCCCCTGCCCTGTTGTGAACTGGAGTCCCCACGCCCTGCCTCCTGTTTCAGCCCCTCCTGGTGTACTGTGGGAGGGGTGAGCCCAGCAGTGGTTGAGAGGCAGAAGGGGGAAGGGGAGTGCTCTCCGTCCTCTGGGCCTGGTCAGGATATGGCCGCTCTGGGTCCACCCGACCTGCTGGGTGGAAACAGGAAATATGTGAGACTCGGTGTGCGCTGGGTCTGCGCCTGGCTCCGAGGCTGATAAGGGCCATTGTGTGGCCACTGGGGATGAGCCTGCCCGGGATGGATGTGCTTCCCGGAGGAAGGAAGGAAGGAAGGAGGGCTTGCTCGCCTTTCCGGGGCGGGAGAAGCTGTGGGAGAGAAGGGTGCAGGGGGAGGCCCCTGCCTCTGGGGCTGTCGGGGCCAGCACAGGCCCGAGGGACCCAGCCCTGCCAGTGCCAGCCTCTCTCTGGAAAGGCCCATTTCCCCTCTCCACTTCCCCGTTCCTACTTCCTATAAGGAACGGCTGGAGACGAGGGCTCAGTCTCAGGCCAGGAAAGTGTCAGTTGTGATTTAGCAACAATAAAAATAGAAGAGCAGGAACATCAGGGGTAGGGGGCTCCTGTGGGTGCTGCTGAAACGCAGGGGATGCCGAGGGCTAGAAGTTACCCACACCCAGGAACCCAAGAACGAATCTCACAAGCATCTGAGGCACAGGACTTCCTCACAGCAGAACAACCCCTCTGCCCAGCATGACCAGCCCCCAGCCCATCACACTCATGGTGGGGCTCGCCTGCTGTGGGAGGCAGCCCCACTGCGGGATGTGAGGAAGGGCAGTGCCCAAAAAGGGGTCTTGAAGGCTTAGGGGAGGAAAGGCCTGCTTTGGGGAGTAGCCCCTCTGCTCTCTAGCTGGTACTGGAGAGTGGGCAGGAGGAGGGGCAGCCAGAGAGCTGCTGCGGGATGCGGGAAGGGGAAAGGCATCCTGCCCTTTGACCTGGAGCCCAGGGTCCCCCATGGGTGGCTGCATGGGCTCCTCTGGTTACCTGGGACAACAGGCATTTCCTCCATCCCAGCCCCTCCTCTTCCTGCTCCAACCATCCGGGCCAAGAGGCCTCCAATCAGACCTGGACGGCTCCAGCTGTGTACTGAGGCGCTGGACCAGCCACATCCCCTGGGGCTGCAGTCGAAGCAGAACCAAGTGGCCATCCCAGCATAAGACAGATTCCTGGCTCCTGGAACGGGCAGAGCCAGCAAGGGGGCAGGCAGCTTTTGCTCACAGGCCCCAGTGCCCAGCGCAGGCTATCCGAGGGCAGAATGGCGCTGCAAGTGGAGCTGATACCCACCGGGGAGATCATCCGTGTGGTTCATCCCCACAGGCCCTGCAAGCTTGTAAGCTGGGGTGCTCTGGGCTGGGCGGGGGGTGGTAGCGTCTCCCCAGGGCCCGGCAGCCCCTCTCAAGCAAAGCCCTCCCGCAAGAGGTGAGCAGCGGGGAGGGGCCGAACAGACAGGGTGAGTGGAAGAGTCAGGATGGAAGGGTCACGGGCACCAGGATTTTTGGAAGTGGAGGTCTGGGCTTGACCCTTCTCCAGCTCCCTGAACCTCGGTGGGCACAACTGTGAATGCTGGGCACAAAGGCAAGTGAGGGCCGCTGTGAGGTCGCAGGAGGAAGGCGTGTAAAGCTCCAGGCACGCGGTACTGGCTCGGTGCATGCCCCGCTCTGCTCTGGTCCACGGAGCTGGGGTCGCGCAGGACTCAGCGCAGGGGGACGGTGTGGGAGGTGGGCGGGTGGAAACAGGGACAGCGGGCCCTGCAGGGAAGGGGCTGGAGAGGCAAAGGGCCGGGAGGACGGAGAACGCCAGGCGCCCCCACGGCTCCAGCAGTGCGGCGGGGGTGGGGCGCGCGTGTTCGCCGTGACCGGACGCGCCTGCCCGGAGCTGCCCTAGGCGGGGGCCGCTGGCACCGAGGCTTTGCGGACGCGGCCGGGACGGGCCGGGGCGGGGCCGGAGGGCGCGCGGCCCTGCCCGGGATGACGACAGGCCGCGGCCCGGCCCCTGGCGGGCCCTGGGCGGGGAGAGCGCGCCGGGGCCGCGAATTCCGAGCTCGCCACGCCGCCCAGCCCGGCCCCCGCCAGCGCCGGAAGAGCCGAGCCGGTGGGTACTCGGGGCGCGGGGACGGCGCGCGCGGGACCCGAGAGGCCTCCGCCGCCAGGCGGGCCTGGGGTCCGGGCCGGGAGCGAAGCGGAGGTCACTGCCGCGATCGCTGGGGCGGAACGGCGGCCGCGTGGACCCGGGCGGGGTCCCGGGACCCGGAAGCGCCGGCGCAGCCGGGTGAAGACTTAGCGCGCCTGCGGGAGCGGGAAGCCGGGAAGAGCGGCCGGGGTGGCGGGACCCAGGACTGGGCGCCCTTCGGGCCTCGCCCGCAGCCCGGCCCTGCCTCTGGTTCCGGAGGAGCCGCCTGAACACCGCCCCTTCCCGTCCTCCGCCCCTGGGGCCCCGCGCTCCTAGAGAGTGGCGGGAGGGGACTGGCCACCGCGCCCGCGGCTCCTCTCGCCCCTGCCTCCCGCGCACCCGAGCCCGCCACGCCGGGGCCCTGAGATTCATTCATTCATCCAGGCGGCCAGGAAGGGGTCACCCAGCTCCGCCCGGTTCCTGGCTCCGCGGAGGGGGTGGCAGCAGCCTCCTGGGAGGGACCCACCAGGAAACAGTCGATTCCTGCTGGGTGCGATAAGGAGGCGCCGCGCGTCGGAGAGAATCAGGAAGGGACTCTGGAGGAGGCGATACCTAGGAGTGCCCGGGGCTGAGGGCGCCGCAGGTGCAGGCCCAGGCTCTGACGCTCGGGCAGGTTGCAGGTGGTGGGTGGGAGGGATGGATGGGGAGAGAAGGGACTGAGAGGGCCGCCTGTCACACCAGAATGCAGGAGCAGTGGGGTAAACCGAGGACAGCGTGAGGGGGAGGTCTCGGGAGTTCATGGCAGCGTCCTGACCACAAGCAGTGGCTGTGAATCGTGGGCCTGGGACATGGAGGGCGCCCTGTAAACCTTCACTCTATGAACAGGGGATGTTGATGTGATTTGTATTGCCCGAGGGGAAATGGATTGGTAGTAGGAAGGCAAGGAGGTCAGTTAGGAGGCTGCCGTCTCCGCCATGAAACAGGCAGTGATGGAGCTGAGGCGTTCGCGGGGCGTGGCCACTTGGTGTGGGGAGTGGAGAGCATGCCTGTTAACCCAGGCGGTGATGACCAGCTGAAAGTGCTGCCCTTCTCTCTACAAGGACATTGAACAGGGAGTACAGGTTAGGGGTCAGGAGCCTTGTTTCCTTTTTTTTTTTTTTTTTT